CGAAATCTGGGGCGAAGGCTATCTCTGGCACAAACCTGCCAGCCGCAAGCAGAGCCATGCCAGGACAAGGCAAAATCTACAGGGCTTAATGATCGCAACTCTTCTTGCACTCTCTTCCGCATTCCGCCTTTTTATGGGACTTGCATCGCCTCACGAAGTTCTAGACGGCTTCTTCTCGCAATTATTCACTGGCTGGCGAAGGCCAACACAGCTCCATCTTCAGGGGAGAGCGATTTGTCACCACACACCCCAAAACCCTAAACTGACTTGTGGACGGCGGCGGATAGTGAGCAGTCGTTGCCAAAGAAGAACTATTTGAATAATGATGCATGCTCCTCTAACCGAATGCACTCAACAAGTAATATTCATGGCAGGTTCGTCGCATGAACTGACTTTCTGGCACATCATCGATTAGGTTATCCAGGATGGCTGCAATTGATGCCGGAAGACAAGCCTTGCGGCCGCACAGGCACAGTTGGGCATCGCTGAGAGCGCAGTTGCTCCTGACATCGGGCAATGTCTCAAATCATGCAGTGGATTTGGTCCGGCAGGAGCACACTGACACTCGCAGGCTCTTTTCTCTTCAATGTCTCCGCCGGCTTTTCGTGCACCAGTTCCGATAAATCTGCTCACTGCCGAGTAATAGGATCCGCCATGATGAATAGGGAGTAGATATTATCACCAAAAATAAAACCGTGCTTGAAGAGCACCCGATACCTGAACTTCATGAATTGTTTCTTGATCCGGTTGAAGCCGAAGTCTTCGTCTTTGTCGTCAGTTTTTGTATTGATCACCTCCCAATTTTTCTTTTCGGGCCAGGTGGCTTCACACTTCTTGCGGATGCATTGGTTGTTGTTCTCACCACCATATTAGTCAATGATCGTGTTGAGCTTGACCTCGTCTTCTGGATCATAGCGACTCCATTTTTTATTGATCTTACGATCGCCTTGGGATGATTTATTATGGATCTAATGAACGCCTGACGACGGAGAGGCGCACTCTTTTAAGTATTATAATAAAAATAAATATAAAAGAAATTCATAAGTTTTTAATATTTAGAGAGAAATCTCCCGCGAGATATATATATTTAAGAAAAATTATATCAAAAGTCAAAATTCTAGAGATTCGATAAAAATATAATCATATTAGAAAAAAAAATTTAAATATGGGGAAAATATCTATAAATAAAAAGATTAAATCCGATAACTAAATCCGAATTGAAATCCTAGATCGAAATCATCGCATCCGAGAATTCAAATTTATTAATTCGATATAGAAGCTCGCATTATGTGTTTAATCCATATTTCTAGAATCCAAGATATATCAAAAAATCATATAGCATCTTTTTCGAATATATAATTATAAATTTCTAATAGATTATATCAGAATATAATCAAATCCGAATTCAAGATCGATAAAAAATCAATATAACCGACCAATTCATCTATAATTTATTGAAAAAATACCTCTTTCCTGGAAGCAACAAACAATACCAGATCGAATAAATTCAATGAATTCCGTCCAGCATCTCTATCTTCCTTTTTTCGAAAGATATGAATGTCAAAACCTATTTCTGTAGTTTTCTTGTCATGCCGCTCCTCTTCATAGATCTTCGAAGTGCAGATATTCCCTTCAGGAAACGTAGCAGATCCTGGGTCTCAGGAAGCCGGAGCAGTCTGCTTGTTCTGTTATATTGTCTTAGGATTATGAATGAAACACTCTTTATGGTATCTGATCATGGCTTCCCTCGAATCAGTTCAAAACCTTCTGAATGACACGGACACAGCAGATTCCACTTTGCGATGCAGACAGCAGCTGGCTTTCGCCAAGTGCGGTAGCAAAGTGTATCAAGGCATCATGCAAACTAGCAAGATCATTGAAACGGTGGTCAAGCATTGATGCCTGCAGTCGTGAAGCCATGTGCATGGCAGCACACTACTTTGGAACTCGCACGCGTCCATGTTTACTGGAACTTGACCTGCTGAACCGATCTTAGAATTCACTGAAGCGACTCAGAGGCAAGTCGTGTCTACAAGAGTCTCTGCAAGGTGGAACTCCCGTCCCTGCACCAAACACACCAAGACTCTATGACAGAAGACCAAACTTTACGTTTCCTTGCAGAGACTCTCGTGGTGCAGCAGCAATAAAGAGTCACATTTGTGAGACGCAATCATCCAATCCTGGAAGAAAGGCCCCGTCCCAACCACACAGCAGATGTGCTTGGCTGCTTCTGTCTTGCGTCTGTGCCGGTCACTACATCAATCCTGCTACATTGGGCCTAAATGTTTGGATAGTGCAGGCAGATTATTTCGAGATCTGCATCAGGCTTCCGCATCTGGTGGACCACATCCTCCGGTGGGTTGGACCTAATCTGCCAGACCCGAAAAGGCGCTGAACTTGCAGAACGGGCTCTGCTGCTCGCTCCGATAACAAAGCTCTCCGCAAAAGCTTCCATCAGCCCGGCTAAGAACCCGGCACACCATTGACAGACAGTATCCGGTCGTGCTCTCGGATTGAGGCATCTCGGTTCACCTCGCGAGTGCGACGATCTACGAGCCGCTTCCGCCGCGCTGCAGTTGCCAACTCCAGAATTCTATTGCAGCGCCCTCCTGTGCCTTGTTCCACTCACGAACCAGCCCTTCGGCAATGGTGTCAATCCACGGCTTGAGCGAATAGTTTGGCATGTAGTTCGCGATAATTCCCAGCTTCCTCAGCGCAATCCCGCCCTCAACCTTAAGACGCACAGGCTGCACCGCCAGACGCTTCCTCTCACGAGCCAGACAGCCCAAAGGATCCTGAATTGTCCAAATCGGTCTCGACTCCCTCCTATCTCCGAAGTTCGGAATTGCCCTTTCTCATCTGAAGCTCCCTGGCCGCTTCAATGTAAGTGTTCGTGTCTGCGGCCGCTGAAGCAGCAAAGCGACCTCGAAAGCACGTTGGCACGCCGGTATTCGGCGAGCTTACGGCTCGTCTAGGCGTCTGCGGTCTGAAGCAGAAGAAACGAGTAGTAAAGCCAACGGAGCCTGGTCGTCTGGAGTGTTCTCGAGAGCTTTCGCCTGGGGCTGTGCAGCGGTGTGGAAGCTCTTAACGCCTATCCGACGTCTTCACTCCAACTGGCCAAAACTGGGGAGCTGGCCAACTCTTTCCCAGAAGCCCGCTGGCCATTGACTTCAACGATGCGATCGTAGACGCTGATCTGCGATTGCGTGGGGTTGTTCCTCGGAGGATCACAGGCACTCGTTCTGGTGATGTCGTAAGTCTTTCGTTTTGTCGGCTCCTCTGGAAGGCAATCCTTCGAAGCAACCTTCTGCCGCTCTTCTGATCGGTTTGCACGGCGTGTGTTCATGCGCTGTGCTTGTCGTAAAAAAGACCTACCTTCGTGCAGCTGTAGCACGACCAGGAGCAAATATTTACCCCGGTCGCATGAGTTCAAATGCAGAATCACAAGGCGAGGAACTTGTTCCATTCCGTCACAGCGTTCGTCATCCTCTTGATCATCAAATGGTCCTAACACCAAGCAGCTGTCAAGTGAAGGCAGGCGATGTTAAGACATCTGCCAACTGCAGTCAACTGTGACGCGATTACAAACTGCACAATCAACCTCACCGTGGTCGCCATTTGTATTTTTTCTACTCTGAGCGTCCACATCCGACTTCTCCAGCGCCAAATCCCACTTTCGATCCGCTCCACGTGCAAGCTGGACTGTGTAGAGGCCACTCTCGGCCTTGCTTCGAAATACGGAACAAGCCAACCAACAGCAGTTTCTCCAACTCGGAACTACACCGTCCACCTCTGGAAATATGGCCCTCCCCCTCCACTAGATGACAAGATCTCAATAATAACCCTTATAGTCCCTGTTTAGGTATACTAGAAACCCCAACATACAATTCCAATTACTTGGAGCTTGGAACAAGTCTGCCAAGATGCCGTCATTGACTCCGCCAGGGCAGGAGACGACTTTATCAGCCCCTGCGGAGTGCGCTCGGTGCCATCCTCGGCACCCAGAGAGCCGGGCAGCACCCAAACAGAAAGGTGGAAGGCACACTGCAGGTCCAGCCTAACCCCAGGAACATGAAGCCTCAAGGCATGTTGCTCGTGCAGAGTCCGCATCACTGCCGAGGTGCCACTGGCACGGCATCGAAGCCCTCTCGTTCTTCGGTGCAGCAGCAGAAGAACATCGGGCAGCCCACTACCTCAGCTCCGCATCTGCGCCAACTCAGAGCCTCTGCAGAAATCGACACCGCGCCACCCAAGGAGACTTGTAGCCAAGCGGCGCTTGTTGCGACAGGTGGCAAACTCGGCTTTGAGCCGAAAGTCTCCGGAGATGCAGAAGGGACACTTCTCCCCACCCTCTGCACTCTGCATGAAAGGTGTTCGTAAAAAAACATGTGGTGGCTTTTCGTCCCGCCCCACAATCCCTGCGATCGCAGCATTTTTGTCTTGCACTCTGACGGTTCTTCGTCTGCGCTCCCTGGCCCTGGCGCCGACTCCAAGGCCTGCAGGCTGCCTGGAGGTTTCGTCAGCACGGGGCTTGGGAAATGTTGGGGACAAGGGCGCTGGGCAGACATGTCGAGAGTTTTTCTGAAAGAGATGCAGTATGCAGCCTGCTTAGATGCCTCATTTCTCCGCTTCTTGTGAGAAAACGCGGCTCTTGCGATGCGCAGGTCATCTGTCTTGGACAAGAGAAGGGAAAAGTCCGACTGCCAAGTCTCTGGCACGGATCTTAGAATCTTAACGCATACTGGTTCGCAGCATGTGCTCCCATCACCAACTGGGCCACACGCTGAATGGTGAGAACTGAGAACAGCGCTGCAGGTTCTGTGTAGCCCCGCAGAGATGGCACACGCACAGGACAGTAGATCTGCTTGAAGTCTTCTCGAGGTCCTGCCGACGTGTGTTGTCCGCGTTAGACCGCATCTTCAGGACCGCCGGGTCGAGAAGCCGTCCTTTCTTCTTGTAGTCACAGCTCTGCATCAACTCCGGGGTCGATTTCGGCCCTGTGGAGCTCTGCGAACTTGTCGTTCTGCTGGCAGCAACGCTGCTCCCAGGCCGGTGCGTTGCAAGTCGGATCTTGTCTGCCAGGTCGATCTAGCTGAAGGAATGCAAGAAACGACCCCGTGTGTTGGCGGCCTCCTCCACAGTCACAACAGACGCTGTTGTCCCACTAGGTCACTTGAGCTGTTTGCGTGCTCGTGGGAGAACCTGTCTAAATTTGCAGTACCTCTTTCGGTGTACAGTGTACAGTACATTATTGTATGAATGTGTAATTACACCTCGTCGCTGTAACTCGGGTTCCGGAGACAAGTCATGACAAGTCCTTCTCGGGCTTGAAGATGAACTGGGCACCCCAGCGCCTGCCACTCACGACTTCACCCTGTTCTCTTTTCATACCTGCACCGCTTGCTGCTCAGGCACTCCGGGCCCTGCGTCAATTTCGGGTTTAGCCGGAAGAGCAGGTCCAAGCTCTCGTCAGTTTCCTGCGTAGGCAACATGTGGCAATGAGCTTCCTTCGCCCAAGCGTTGTTTTCCCGCACCCTTTGCGCCTTTGCACAAAGGGCTCCACCTGGGCCCAGCTGCAGCTCGCCAGTGAAGGGCTCGAAAATCGGTGACAAACGTGACCGGACCTTAACTCAAGACTCTGCTTGGAATCAATCTGGCCAGAACTGGCACCAAGCCACCGCATGAAAGCACAGCCATCCTTCCTGCAGGCACCGCGTGCTCAGGAGGCCCTCGCGCTGCCCTGCGTAAACGCGCCTGCAGGATACCTCGCAGGAACTCGGAGCGCGGGCGTGAGGAGCTCGTACCTGCAGGGCCAAGCAACAGCTAGCAGCTGGCAACTTTGCTCAACGGAGTCGCGTCGGCGCCTTCCAGCCACAAGTAGCGAGGTTGGAGCTCCAGGAGCTTCTGGAGTCCTCCGAAATAAAAAAGGAGAAAGGGCACACACCGAGACCAAGGCTTGGTGAGGTTGAGCCCTTGCTCTTGCTAGCGAGATGCGATCTGGATGACAGCGCCTACCAACCTGCCACGAGACATGTCACGAGTTCAGCTCAATCGCGACGCAACAGAATGGCGATGCCTGCATGATGATGTCTGCAGGATGCTGCGCTCTCTCGGTGGATGCTTCACATTGCTGCCTGCACAGCTTCCGGGATGAAGGCTCAGAAGGTCGAATTCAAGAGGCTCTGAGCTGCCACAGATCAAAGCTGTAGACTTCGGGCGACAACAGCCCTCCCTTTGGCAAAAAACTCGCCTTCCGCAGAAACCGGCCGCTGATTTCTGAAGTCGGCGGAGAGTGGAGAAGTCGGTCTCCTCAGCATTTGGGGATCGTGCCAAGTCTTGCCTTAGCTGCTGCCCCGAACCTGGAGCAACCCCAAGCCCTGCATACAGACGTACACACACAAACACACATCAATCTTTGCATAGGTTCTGTGCATCACTGTGTACAAGAATCTACATGTGTAGATATACGTGTATATATATATATATACACATGTCACATGTGTGTGTGTGTGGTTTAGTGTATGTATGTCTGCGCATAATAACTATTGACGTATATGTTGACTAGTGCACATATACCTTGCAACCACAAGTCCGGATCCACGAATGCGACCTCTCCACACCGTTCCTCCGCATGAGTCACCAACTGCCTCGGCCAGCAGCCAACATCTCTATCGGAGGGTAGAGCCTAGTCTTCCTCGATCCTGGCTGAGGCAAGAATCCATCAATGTCCCAGTCCCGACAATCAACCCGAGCCGTCTGACACTTCAGCACCCTAAGGGCTCCAACTTAGGCATTGACGGGAGCTTCAACGCGGTCCTCCGCGGCATTTGCCACTCAACGGCAAGCATCCGTGCCTCCCCATGCACAACTGCAGTCTTACAGTGGAGTGCATCCTCCCGACCGGAATGGAAAGACGGCTTCAACATGTTACGATTGGATCAAACGGGGACCATGCTTCTGCATGATCACCATGCTGCTGATATCGTCTGCGCTCCGAAACCAGACGGCACCTGACCGCACCTGTTGATAGACTGTACTGATTCAAAACTATCGGAACATGATATCCAGCCGTCTGGCGTTCTACGATCCTGCCCAAGCCTGGCAGCAGCCGCGAATGTCGCCCCAGCCTGAAGGCCGGCAACAATTCTGCCGAGGACGAGTCTCTTCGCTGCCCAAAGCCTCCGAGTGCTCGAAAGAGTCCGGGAGAGACGCCCCCGCCAGCAGCCACCACGAGCCAGGGACCTGAGAAGTTGCATTCCAGTGCCAGGAAGCTCAAGGAAGCTCAAGGGGCTCAAGCCGGCTCAAGCCGGCAGGGCTCATGGCTGGGGCTCCGACGTTGCTCGCGCCGCCTGCTCAAGTCCAGGAGCCATCGGAAGGCTGCCTTAGAAGACGGCTGCGACGTTGCTGAGACTCTGCGATGCTCTGCGATGCTCTGCGATGCTCTGCGATGCTGCGCCGCGGCCGAGGGACAAGGAGCTCAGACGTCGCTGCGGTCGCGTTCTCCTCGGCCTGCACAGCTCCCTGGCGCACCTGTGAGGCCGCCGCCTTGGCCTTGGTTCCGGACCCCTTCAATGCAAACGTCTTCGAGTGCTTTTCTGGCAGGCCTTCTGCATTCGATCTCGCAGCTTGGAGGCCACGTCGGCAAAGAAGAGCATCCAGAAATGGCTGTCGTGCCACTCGAAGACCTTTAGACGGCTACGAGCTGAATCGTTTGACTCCCTGATCGCTGTTGGCGACCCTGGCGCTGGCCTTGCTGGCGGAGAGGCCACTCCAAAGCGTCTCCTCGCTTTGCGTGATTCTACTTCTACAGGAGGAGTGTACCGGGAACTGCCTGAGCGTTTGCTACAGCCAAAGCACGCGTCGCAGGTGTGTCGAGCAGGCACATCAGAAGTAAGGCGAGAAATACAAGAACATGCTGTGACTCCGGCGACCTCATCCAATCCTTTGGCTGCTACCATCGTCTTTGCCATTTCGACGTCCGCCGGAAAGCCCTTCGCACCTAACACACACTGGAGAAAAGACGCAGCAGAATGTTTCGTGAATGCCTGCGAAGAAGTGACATGGATTACCTAAGATAACCTGGCCTGGCGGGCTGCCCAGCGCGATGTTTTGAAAGTACCGCCAACGGTCGGCCTTGGCACCGACTCTCTGCAAGAAGTGTCCTTTTCTATGAAGCCGGCTCCTCACTGGCCAACGTCGCAATGCGCAGTAGCTTCCCCGCTTCCCGCTCCCCAACCACATGACTTTATCGACAACCCAGCCTCAGTGATCTCGTGCCGAAGAATCTCTGCCAGCCTGTGCTCGACAGATGCCCGTTTTGGCAGGGTGAGCATGTTCTTCCTTGTGGCTGCCACTTGCAAAACGTTCGATTTTGTCGGGATGTTCGATGGCATCCACCCTCACATCTTATGGCCTCGGGATGCTGCTCGTGGGCAGGAAGATGGCCATCTCCCTCCAGGGAAGCAGCCTGCAAAGAGCCGGCGTCGCACGTCATGTTTGCGTTCTTAAGCTCCACGGATCTGCCTATCCTTCTTTGCCAACATCTGTACTTTGCCTGTCCAAAGGGGCTTGGAAGTCGTCCGACACGACCACTGGCACACATCCATGCGCCATGACATCCTGACGATCGATTGTGGAAAGATCCATCTATTCGTGTGCAAAGCTCGCCCCTTTCTCGTGGTGATAGCTCTCGCTGTCTTGAAGCATGGACCCCTTTTCGCCACTGCCTCTCTACATATCTCTCCGTGTGTTATCGTTTCGTCCGCTTGCTTATCCGTTCACTGAGCCGCGCCTCTGTCCGTGTGTGTGTGTGTGTGTGTTGTCAGGCGAATGCTTACTTTGCCTGTGCTTGCTGGCCAGCTTGATACGTTGTGATTACTTGTCTGTTTCTGCCCCTTTTCGTTCTCCTGTTCGATGTGTGAGCGCAAGCATTGATCGAATAACCAGTACCTCAAGATTACCATGCAAAAGGATTCTGCCGAAGCCCACGAATCGATATTCCAGCAAAGCGTCGTACAGGCGAACATTGTTCGTGTGAGAGGATCCTTGCCGCAGACCAGAGCGACCAAACAAAAATCAACTGCCCACTCGGCTTCAGATTCAAAGCCTTCGGACACCTGGCAGCGAGCAGAGTAGTTTAGCTCTTGGCTGTTCTAGACAAAGACAAACGAAGCAGCTGGTTGCAAGAGGCTTCTGTATGTATATGCCCCGGCGCCACCCCCCCCCCCCAGTCCTCGAAGGACGAAGCAGAATCGAGCTCGCCACATGCGCTCGCGATAGTCGCCGTCGTCCTTGGCGAAACTCGTGGAAACATCCTCGGCAGCACAGGTGGGTAGCATCACCAGTATCTCTTCTTGGTGACAACCACATCCAGACAGGTCGGATCCGTCGGTCAAAGCCGGGGCTCGAATCCAGGCTCAGCAGAAAGTGCCGCCAGCACCCTGCAAATCGGGCTGCCAGGAGGCAGCTGTTTCACATCTCTGACTCTTTGTATAAATCCCAATCTACGATGTCCTTCCAGCTGGTCAGTTCCCTCACTTTCCTTTGTAGCATCGGCCGACCTTGTCCTTGCGCAAGAGTTCGGCGACCCGGCGAAGAAGCCCAGCACCGGGCGCCCTGGGCGGAGACAGCGCCGCCTTTACCCTCAGCCCCCGAGCCATCCGAGCCTCCGAAGCGCCGGGACCGGGGATGCGGGCTGAACCTCCAGGCTTGGCTCGAAGCCAACGGAGAGAGCCCATGGATCAGACCGCGCCTAGAAGGAATGGAGATGACCGTGTCCTGCTCGTAGAAGCTACCTGAAGGGACACACAAAGCCTCGAAGAGAAGAGTAGACGCAGGGCTGAAGACCTTGCTGCCGCCCTAGAGGCGAGCTGGGAACATCTCGTTTGCCAAGGCCACTGGCTTGGTGTCCTTCTAATTTCCCCCACATCGGATGCCGAATTCAAAGTCAAGCTAGAACACTTCGACCATGGGGATGGAGCTTGCGGTGGAAGGCATCTTTATAAGGGCTCTCCAGAGGCCTAGCAGAGCCCTGAACTCTTCGGCACTCCGAACTGGAGGGTATCGCTGGAAAGCTGCAGACCTAAAGCTCCAAATCAACCGCCTCCTCCCAGCAGCTGTCGGTAGCTCGGGAAGTGGCTCCTGGAGTCGTCGTGTATTCAAAGAGAATGGCAAGGCTTCAGCGAGGATATGATTTAATGTCTAAATAGCCACTCTAGCAGCGAACTACAGTACGAACAGTCGTTGTAGCCCCTGGCGTCCGGTTTTGATCCACATTCATTCAGATTCACATTCACTTGGAGCCTTCATACTTGGCGACATTTCGTCGATGATTCGAAGTAGACTTTCGTGGAATCCCCATCCCCCCCTTGGGACCTTGAAAGGCGCTCTTGTGCAGCATCTGCTGGTCAATCGTCCAAGTAGGACTCCTGCATCAGGCGGCTTCTCTGAGCCCGAGGCAACCCAAGCTTTCCCCTCCTCTGATGCAGTTTAGGGTTTTTTTCATTTTTGTTGTTCAGGCCTCTTTTCCAGACCGCATCTCTGTCAGGACTACCATGCTGTGTTGAACTCAGAAAGCATGGGGATTCACCACCGAAGGGCTCAGGGTCACCCAAGGAAGGCAGGGGGTCCCCGTGAGGGAGCCGATGCTCCAGGGCTGCAGCCAGGCAGCGCTCCGCGGAAAGTCCTGAGAACGGGAAGGAGAAGGAGGCGAAGGTGGAGAAAGGCATCGGGTTTAGGGTTTAGGGTTTAGGGGTACCGGATCCAGTCCTGTCGGCCCAAGTCCATAGAGAAGACGGTCCAGAAATTCACACCGCCGGTCCTGAATCAACTTTAAAAGTCGGAGCTCCGACCCTTGAACTCACGCAGCCGGAGGGACCGATAAAGCTTGTCCAAGCCGCGCGCGATGTGCAGGAGAGGCATGCGCCCATCGAAGAATGGGCACCAAATAGCCTCATCAAGATCCAGCGCAATGAAGACGAATCCATCTGCCACCACCAAAAATGCAGCGTCAGCTCGGGAGCTGAATGAAGTCTCAAAAAGTAGATTTCAGATTAATCGCTCAATACGCGAAGAAATGATGACGAGTTGCCCAATTCAGCTCGCTCGATGGCCTGGTTTCGTAACAGACATGCATGAGAAGAACATCAAGAGCACCTGCTGCTGCAGTAGAAACGCCTGCCAGTGCGTGAGGTTGTAGCTCTGTCGGAGTGCGAAATATATCTGCGACACGCACTGCGGGAAGTAGATAAATTGTGCCTCTGCCAGGACGGCCCGTGCTATGCAAGTGGGAGACCAGGAAGTTGCTGCAAGACAGAGGCACCTTCTCCACAGATTCTGCCCGGTACCGCTGACCCTCCTTGCCGCGCCATGCTGAGGTGTCGGACCGACTAGAAGCGGTTCATATGTGCGACACCAAACTATGACAAGGGGCACGGATCATCTGGATGAAGTACCACTCCATCGAGTACTGGTATCCATTGTACCTCAGTGCCCCACTCAACTCACAATGGTGCAGCCGATAGCATCCTACTGACCGCCCTGAAGTTCTTTGCAATCGCAATGAAGCAGAGCAAGAAGTCGCCGTTGCCCGCCCTTTGACACAAGAGAGGTCATCGCAAATCAAGGCACTCACACTCCGCAAACTCGTCGAGGCCATGGACGCACTGCGGATTCCACGTACCAGTTTCCTCATCCAACGACTCGGATTGCACAGAAGAGAATAGCACCAGAGTGAAAGACTGGAGAGGAACAGCAGGCAGAGAGCGAGAGAGAGAGGGAGAGGGAGAGCGAGAGAGAGCAAGAGACAGAGAGAGAGAGACAGAGAGAGAGAGAGAGAGAATGGGCGGTCCTTGTATTGACATTTCGATTTGGGAATCTCCTTGGATTGCCGGGTGATAGTTGTCCGCTTGCAACTGTCATTCATGCTGCCGCAGTTGACATCAAGGATAGGAGTGCCGCTACCTCGAGCAGCTCTGGAACTCTTCAGCTAAGTGTTGGTCTGCATTAGTAACATTAGTACCCTTCCGCCAAGCTGCCAGCAAGGCAAACTGACCGTACAACGCCTCGTCGGTCGCAGCAATGCTTGGACCGGACACGGAGAAGAAGACTTATAAGGTTTAAAATGGGCCAGCAACAAGGTGGCAAGTGGACACGGATGAATTCGCCTCGAGCCCCCCCTCCCCTCCCCTTGCATCGTCTCGTTTCAACCAGTGCAAACTCATTCCCGCCGAAACCACCTGTGGCCCGACCGAGGTGAAGAGTCTTCAAATATGTTCTGCACCCAGGACCCAGACACTCTGATGATAGAGCTGCAACGACACATGTTTGCTCAACCTCGCGCCTGAATGCTTGAAGCATCCAGCGGCACAAAGAACCCACCAGCTGTCTGCAGCGCTCGGAAGAGATAAAGCAGGCGACATGGCTGAACGCGCATGCGAAGACAAGGTCTGCGTTGCACACTGCTTTTTGCAAGTAAGAGCTTGAAGTGGCAAAGCGTTGTAGCAGTTCTGCAATCTAGTGCGATTGTCAGGCTTTTTTTTCGGTGGTGCTGCCTGCCAAGCCTCAGCCTCAAATGCCGATGCAACGAACTTTAGGCAACTGTCTTCTGAGTACTGCTCGGTCTGCGAACGAGTCCGAGACCCGAGACCCCACTGAAAAAGGCTCGCCTCGCTGAGCACCGACCTGACCCTGGCGTCCTCCTTCTGCTCGCACCCGCCGGTCGAAGCCTCGTGAACTGGAGCTCTGAAAGGCCAGTATGTTTCGGTGCACCGCTGGGTGTGACACTGAGCAAGAGCCCGATCGTCTCCACGGAAAGCCTCCGGTTTGCCGCGGCCTGGGCCTTCGGCTGGTCTGCGCCTCAAGGGTCGCAGTGGTGGCTTGCAGCACCGGTCGTAGCCCAGTGTCAGTGCCACTGAGCACCGCGCGCCATGAGCCATCCAAGGAATCAGACCGCCGTCAGATCTGACTCAAGACCTGAGCTAGGGCCGGCAGCAGAGCTGCCTGATGAGCCACAACCCAGTACTTACCCCCGTGTCGGCATTCAACGGCAACTGGCTTCAGTTACCAAAGCTAGTGACAAACGGCAGATCGAGACGGAGCGAGCTGAGAACTCAGCATCCGTAGGCTCCCAAGAAGGCCACCGGAACTCGCCCAGCCTGCACACGGATCACGCAGCCGGACTACACTTCATGCTTGCAATCTTCCTCGCAGCGCCTCTGCAGCCGTCAACCCAAAGTTGCTGGCGCTGAGAATTACGCCATCCGCCGAGGCGATAGTGAGCCACTGCCTCAGAGCTGCAGGCAAAAACCGCCGAGCAGAAGCTGCGGCGAGATTTTGTGGACTCTCAGGTTTCAAGACGACGGACCCAGTCCCTCAGAGACTTGGGAGTCTCCGAATACGCCCTCGCCCTGACTGCTCAGTAGAACGACCTCCCCTACAAAGGCACTCAAAATTTGAGGCATCCCCGTCTGCATCTCCTGGGCTCTTGACGCCCATGTGTCTGTGATCCCGGCAACCTGGCAACAACCAAGTCAGGACTCCGTCCTTTTGTCTCACATGCTGGGCCCCAAGCGGCCACCGGAAGCGGACTTCGATCAAGATGCACCTCTTGCTTTCCGGACCGAGAGTACGAATTCGCTGTAAAACTTGGGAATCACATCACAAGGAACCGTGAACCACTCTCTTAGGGTCCAACAATGGAGGCGTCACCCTGCCCTGGCAGAAATGCCAGCCTCAGTGACTTAGTTCTCTGACTCTGACTAGCATAAGCCTCTGCTTCTTTTCCTGCAAGGCTGCACTCAGAAGTCATGTCTCTGCACGCCTCTAAAACTCAGCTGATGACTTGTTCCGCTTGATCAACTCAGCTATCCTGCCGGGGAACTGCCACCGCCATGGGAGCCACACCACAAGACGGCGCAAAGCCACGAGACGAATGAAGCAGAAGGAAGCACAGTACAGTAGTTCATGGATTCTCGACGAGGCTGCTGAGGGCGGAACAAAGGCGATGAGCCCGCCTCGAGTGCAGTCATTCCTGGAAGCCTGCGACAGCCTGCGACCTACTGGCCTCGGCAGTGTCGGCAGCAAGATACCAGGCCACGTCGTCGTCCTCTGCGGAGAAAAGCACGGCTCTTTGAGTTCATAGCGTGGCATCCGAATCCGAGTTGAGGCTTCAAACACCCACTGCACCCCGGGACCAGAAGTGTCCTTCCAGCGCTGATGTCTTTCCAGTCCCTACCGGCAGGCAGGACTGCAAACTGCAAGGCCCTGGAGAGAAGAGGATTGCAGACGCAACCGCTACACTCTACCCGAGCTTGGACATGTCATGCGGCACCTGCGCACATCCCAGGAAGCCCTCCAAGTCGCTGAGGCCGTGCCGGGGCGGATCCTTAAGGCATGCAGCGCTGGAAAAGCCTGTGGCATGGCACACCTGCGCGAGAGTATTTGCCCCGAAGGGGCTCCGAGGCACAGACTGACCACCTGACCGCATGTCACAGGCTCTGTGCATGTCGACTGGCATGTATTGTCAGTTCGCACAGTGCCCGTATAAGTCAACGTCCATGTGTCCTAAAGCTGTTACCAACGTCCAACAGCCAGCTCTCGTTTCTGGCCGGCATGGATTGGTGAGCCTAAAGGGTCAATGCCCTCCATCAAACCACCGCTCCTGTTCGGTGACTTGTCTCCTGCTCGGAAGTGGACTGCGATGAGGCGCTTGCGCCCCAACTTGGCGGCCTGGAGCTATCTGCATTTGGCAGTCAGTACGCACTCCTTTTTAAGGCCTCAGCGGCTAACAAGGAGGCAGGCCGAGCTGTCGCTCAGTCTGGTTCTTGCTTTCGGCTTCTGTCTGGTACTGCGTACTTTCTGAACCGCTGCAAGACACACACTTGCGGCAGAATGCCTGACCCCGGGGGGCGTGCCTCCAGCACCTGCGAGACAGGAACTCAGAGCAAAGGGGCGTGAGTGGAGACCCCCCGAGTACAGCGGCTCCGGGACCCGGGGAGGAGAGTGCCCCTCTTTTTGGTCTCTTTGGGCCACTTTTTCTCACACTAATCCCACACACTCCGTGCACCTCTGCATGCCGGGCTGCAAGCAGCTGCGAGGGTTCGAAGAGGAGCTCGAGCAATGCTGCATGGAGATACGGCCTCGGCAGGAGATGAGGACCTCTCGGACTTCGTGCGCCTAACTGCTGGCCTTATAGAGCCTTAGAGACGACCAGAAGCTGGGCGGAGCACGTTTTCAGCAGCTGTGCTGCAAGCGGCCCCATCAGCGACTGAGCCTGCAGCGACAGTCCCTCGAACGCATGCTTGGTCCTGACAAAAAAATCCACGACAAGTCTCTGGGGGGCCACTGCCTCCTTGCTCTGTAGCACAGCTGGCGAAACTCTCTGATTGGTATGCCTCAGACGGGTGCAACCCACCCGAACAGAGCAATGCAGCTGGGTACGCAAGCAGTCAAGCCTCTGTGCTTTCCAGTGCCTCCTGACCCTTTCAACGACACCCCACGGGGTCAAGCCTCTATGCATATGATTGCACATGCATCACGTGTGCCTGCTGACTCCTCCGACCCTTACGAGAGCACCTCAACGTCCCACTCCCAAATGCAATGCAGCGCGACACAAGTCAGGCCTCTATGCTTCCGGATCGCGAGCCTCCTGACCCTTGCGACAACACCCCGCGCAAGAGTAGTGCATTGCGAAAGGGCTCAAGCCTCTATGTGTCGCGAGTGCCTCCTGTTCCTTTCGAAACACTTCACCCAGTCCGGGACACCTAGCCTCAGCAGCCCCGCCTATTGCTTATTCTCTGCTTGTCCGTGTCTAATCCTACCCATTTCGTGCTGCATTGCTCGGCATCTGCCTAGCGCTACCACTGTTCGTCTGAGAGCAGCTTGCGAACTGTCATCAACCAGAGGAACAGAACAGAACGGCGCTCTTCGTTGCAGGTACACTTCAGGAAAGTTTCCACACCCAGCCACAGTCACTCAGCCCTGAGAAACAGCTTCCTTGGACCTTGCTTAGGCCTTGGCATCACAACCACCTTCTCGGGCTCTTGGGTCAAGATCCATGGAAGGTCGTCCACCAAGTCCTGGCAAGTGAACATGCAGACTACTCCATTCACCCATCCCCCTCCCCAGCGTCTAGTGCGCTTGGTGGACTTATCCGATCCAGAATGAACGCATTTACCTTGCGTCTGCAGAGCAAATGCCACGGCTCTTGTAAGCATGGAGGCATCGCATTGTATCGATCGTTGTAGTTCGTCCTTCCGATCACAGGTTGCTTAGCCAAAACGCAGAGAGTTTGGCCCGGCCTCCGACCGACAGCAGAGATAGCGCCATGCAACCGCCAGTCCAAGAGAAACCTGAAGGAGGCAGGGAGAGAGGCAGTATGTATGTGTACATTTGTTTATTTATGTATGCAGATATAGATATATATATATATATGTATGTATAAAGGTTCTGCAAGGGAGATGGGCTGCGCAAAAGGCCGGGAGCATAAACCTGTTGAATCACTTCTGTGAAAAGAAAACCTTCGAATCATCGTCGCCTAGCAAAGGCCAGCATTCTATACTTCCGGTCTTCCGGTGCTTTCGCACTGTCTAACGTGCCTAGACGAACCCGTGGAAACCCTAAACCCTAAACCCTAAACCCCTAAACCCCAAAACCCGAAACCCCTAAAGCCCTAAACCCCCAAAACCCGAAACCCCTAAACCCTAAACCCCTCGAAACCCCAAACCCTAAACCATCCTAAAACCCCTAAACCCCCAAACCCCTAAACCCCTAAACCCTAAACCATCCTAAACCCCTAAACCCATAAACCCCTGAACCCGAAACCCTTTAAAACCCCTAAACCCTAAACCATCCTAAACCCCTAAACCCCGAAACCCCAAAACCCCCAAACCCCAGAACCCTAAACCCCTATTAAACCCCTAAACCCTAAAAACCCCTGAACCCCGAAACCCCTAAAGCCCTAAACCCCCAAACCCCGAAACCCCTAAACCCCGAAACCCGACACCCTAAACCC